GCAGCAAGTGAAGACGAATTAGTAGACATTTGCACTGTAGGGAACGTGTTACAGTATCGCGTTTTTCGGTTACAGTATATAATTTTCAAGATGGAGGATTATTTATGGGAAGAGAGGTAGGTGATTTTTATTCAGGTCCATACTACTAGTTTAGTTTCTAAAAGATGTTTTTGTGCTTTGCTTGTAAGGAACAGAATCCGGTATCTAGTCATTATATTTCTTCAGACCATGCACCGCAGATTTATTTCTATATTGTCTCATAAATGTGCAGATTTGACGGTTTAAAAAAAATGAATCGAGAGACCAACGCATTTTTCTCACATTCAGACATTATTTAAGCATTTCTAGATAAATAAATCTACAAAACGTTAGTCCTTTGTGTTTAGAAACGTTTATAAAAGTAAATGACCAGTTGAACCTATTTTCCTGTAGGTAAAATGCGTTTGAAAACATAAACTATGTTACAGTATAGAGCGAGGTTAATTTTGAAGGGTAACAGCATAGACCTAGCGACTTTGATCCAAATTGTTACAGTTTATACCCAGATTTCGGTTACAGTTTAGATACTTGCCAAATTTCAAACAAACTTCGTGTATCCATTATTTATATGAAAAAACTCATACCTTTCTATTTAATACATTCTTGAAAGATTGCTTATAGAACCACAGACCTTCCGTATATTAGCTTGATATATTCCTCACATACAAAGAATCCAAAGTCATGATTGGATTTCAACTACAGCTGTAAAATGAAAGGTGATTTGAAGTTGACGGCCTTATCCCGACTCTGCCACTTTTATGTACCTCCATCAGGCTCACTAGAGAAGATATTGTAATTGTCTGACCTTAATTTATACTCTATAACTTTCAATATTATTTTCTTATTCAGAAACATGAAAACTGCTATACAGGATGTCTGAAATAAAAAAAAAAAAAAACGACTTTTAATTTAACAATGACAAAATAATCGTAACTTCAACAAAGTAGCATTCGGAATGACGCCATGATCATGATTTGATTTGAATGCTTTTGGTTCGAGATGAGAAGGGTCTTTAAACATGCCTTTTTTTCGTATCCCCGATTGCAACCGAAACCATTTCAACAACTTACTTGGTAGAAAGTCATGTAAATTTCATCACATTTAGTCAAGAAGTTACTGAGCGGATGAGATTGCACACACATGTGTACGACAGACGGACGAATAGCCATCGGGCCAATAAGCTCACAGAGATTTAAAAGTCTATGTAACATTCATGCATTTTACCTAGTATATATAGAAAATTTCGAAGTCTAAACTGTAACAGAAATCTAGGTATAAACTGTAACAAAATCGGATAAAAATCGCTAGGTCTATGCTGTAACCATGCACAAATCACCTCGCTCTATACTGTAATATTGTTTATTTTTTCGAACAGGAAAATAGGTTCAACTGGTCATTTACTTTTATAAACGTTTCCTAACATAAAGGACTAACGTTTTGCAGATTTACTTTTTCTAGACATGCATAAATTATGTCGAAATTGGAGAAAAATGCGTTGGTCTCTCGATTCAAATTTTCAAACTGTCAAATCTGCATATTTATGAGACAATATAGCGATAAATCTGCGGTGCAGGGTCTGAAGAAATATATGACTAGATACCGGATTCTGTTCCTTACAAGCAAAGCACAAAACATCTTTTAGAAACTAAACTACTTGTAGTATGGACCGAAATAAAAATCTCCTACCTGTCCTCCCAACAAATAATCCTCCATCTTTAAAATTCTATAATGTAACCGGAAAACGCGATACGACGGTGATGTGATGACCAGAAATTCTTATAAACTTTTCAATAGTTAATTAATTTTTACCAGAATTGTATATCATTTATAAATGGGCAGACAAAAGACATTGTTCATCATGAACTTTGGCAGGCATGCTATAGATTAGAATATTGAATGTTTTTTTCCACAGGAACTTGAAATTCTATCAATATTAACGATAATATCCAAAGTATACAGGTCTTTAATATCCAAAATATACCCTCCTATGGTATAAGTTTATTTATATTATAAAGAGGGTATTTTTGGATATTATCGTTAATATTTGTGTTTGTTAGAATTTCAAGTTCATGTGGTATTTTCTTTGGAACATAAAAAATAGTAGTCAAAATGAACAAAGTCTGTTAATTGATTTATTGAGAGGTCAATCTACTATTTTAATGAATTACTTCAAAAACCTCGTCTGACCCACCTGAGTGAGTGCTTACATTCCTATCAATATACACATAACAACTCATGTTCAAATTGCAAACGAAAGTTTCTGTTGTTAAATTGTCACAATATTCGGCAAATGAATATTCCACTCTTACTACCCTGCACAGTTACCTATAGAGACTTGAACAGTGAATAGGTTTTATAGTATACTACTGCTAGACCTGTTAACCAAAAATAAAAGTTATGAACTAGGTGTATTTAAATATTCACGGTGCAATCAGGGCCGTAAAAAAGAAAACCGGAGAGACCTACGGAAAAGACAACTTCTATGATACAACAATTGGCCTACTTAATTTTTTACTATAGATTTATAAAGAGTGCAATTAATTGTTTTAATATGTTTCTACAAAATCGCGCAACACGAATGACCGTTTCGTTAAAACTAGAACTACTTCTATAAATAGATTTTCGGACTTTCACAATCATTTTATGTTAAGGTCATCATTCTATTGATAGGTACAGCAGTAAGATACATAATAACCCACATTATTAATAAAAAAAAACCGAAGAGCGCGATTAATTGACGGATAAGATAATTTCATTTGAATATGTTTGCATTGCGAAATTCTCCAGTTCGCTATTCATTATACATATCGCGACATTTCATTTTTCCTCATACCAATCGGAATGATCGGCTATTATGACAGACGAAAACGCCCGAGAAGTTGCAATTGCCTTTTCACAAAATCTGATTTCATTTCATAAGGGCCGTCGCGCTTCGGCGCGGACGTCAAAAAAGGTAACCCGACAAAAATATGGCGGATGACGTGCCATATACCCGCCCATCCCCGGGAGATTTACATCGCACCAGAAAACAATAGGTCATATGGCGACTTGCCAGCTTTACTTGTGGCATTCCTTGCATTATTTCAGGCACTAATGGACACCTGAGTAGAACCACAGAGCTGGATAGCTTCCTCACATGAAAAAATCCAAAATCTCTGTCGGAAGTCGAACCCACAGCGGTGTGGGGCAAGTGAATTCTAAACCTATTTAAGAAAGTTTTTTCTTCATATTCGCATTATGCTTTACACATTTACTTAAACGTACGCAATAAATTAGCATTGTTGTGGTGTTTTATGGATGGATGCATTTTTATAAAATAGAAATTTAAAACGGTGCACTCCCTCACCGACCCATTGTAAAAAAGAGATTTGATATAGTGCAAAATTATTTGCAATTGTGCCAAACTGAACATAAAGGCGAAACTATGCACCGATGAAGCCTCTCTCTTTTGTTTTAGTTTGCCACAAATGTTTGTAGTCAGCAAATTTCTTATTTTTGATTCCTCTGTCTGCACATGTTGTTAAATTCGTTGTAAAAAGATAAATTAAATCAACCATTGTGTACATCATTGCTAAACCAAACATACAATACACTGTTTAGCTTTGGTTTACTTTTGGTTATTTCACAATTAACTGACACAACCTCACATTAGGAAATATAAACAAGATAAAGTCGACAAACATTCAATTTATAGCATTATCTGAAATCCAGGCACGAACCATGTAGGTTGGGTTAGTTTAAATACCTTTGATGTTAGCCACATTTTTAAATAATACATAATTACAATCCACAGTGTACAACAGGTCACAAAAGTTTGGGTGTTATCTATAGGTTCGACACCAGTGAACACAAAATATCTGTCGCTTTGAATCATGTCATAAAAATGTATAATGACGTAATTTATAAATGATTTTAATTCGTTTATATTCCAAGTTATAGTTGAGGATATTATACGTTGATATTTGTTTTCCGACGATATACCTTGTGACGACTTACTTTTGACGTGTTTAATTTTGAATTTGACTTTTCTTGGTTTTAGGGTTATCAAGATATAAATTATTTTAAAAAAAGCTTGGCACAGGCTAATCACTTTCTATTTCAGCAAGATTACAGGTAATAACAAGGATGAGTTACAAACTTTTGCAAAGTCAAATGATATGTACATTGTAATAATATTTGTTTTTTTATTGTACACGTTTTAATAATAATACGGCTAGTAGTTGCTATGCCTTTTTGTTACAATCTCTCCACCTCGAAACCGTGATACATGTAATGATTATCTTCTATTTTGTTTTTAGGCCAATGCGTTTGCCCTAAATACACATACACGTACATGTTTAAATGGCTAAATTTCAGCAAGATTTTATTTTCTACCACCATAACCCGAAAATAAGTATATTAATTCAAGTGCAGAGTGGTTATATGAGGCCTTCATATTCTATGTGAAAACTACTATTTCGTTCATAAAATTTCGCTACTAAACAAGCGAAAATTATCGCCTCTAAAAGTAAAGTTCGCATGTCTTTAATTTTGCTAATCTCTCCAGCGATAATAATCGCCTTTAGAGGAGATAATTATCGCATGCTACTAGCAAATTTTTTTGGACGAAATAGTTCACCGTAAAAAAGCACAAAATCATAATTATCAACAAAATTTGTGACTCATACTTGTAGAAACACAAATCGAAACCAAGCCGCCAGATAACGAACATATAGGCTATGTAAATAGTGAATCATTGTGATTAATTGTGATAAGATTATCTTAAATTACATTACGCAGCAATAAACTGTTACACTCTAACTTAAGAGTACTCGTCTAATTGATAATCACTTTTTGGAAAAAACAATGTCATGTTTGTGACGCGACATGACGTAGGAACCTATCCTCCACAGTGGAAGGGAATCGCTTATCAAGCTGAACTTGCAAAGATTAGACACGAGTTTGACAGTATAAATATACCTGAAACTAAAAACTTGTCAACAATTTCGCTTAGGATATTCAATTTTATTGTCGCAACTAATAACTGACAGAAACATGTTAAAGTTAGTGGCGGTTTTGGCGCTTGTTGCCTGCAGCAAGGCGATGATCCAGTGCCCACATAATGCCTGTGACGCCTTGGATTGTCCAGTAATGGACGATTGTAACGGAAGAGTTAATGCTAACGGAGGCTGGTGTGGTTGCTGCGATGCCTGTATAACACAAATTGGTAAGAATCTTACAATAAATATTCATTTTCTTTCATTATGTAAGTACAGCAGTCATAGGTCATAATCAGATATCATGAGAATGAAGGTATAATAGTTTCTTTTTTCTATGCAAAATCAAAATGTGAATGGTGACTTATAATGTATTAATGATGATGTTAAGTTATAAAAAGAGGAACAATTTATTGGTGATAACATTGAAAGTAGTGGATTGTTTACATAAATATTAATCGTAGAATGTATTTTATTAAGTATTATGTGTATTAATTTCATAGACTTGACCCCAAATGAAAATGCAAACTATTATTTAATGCCCAGTTTTTATATATATATTTTTAAAGGCACATTATGTCTCAGAAATTATTACTTTTACTTCTTTGGAAATAGCAAGCATGAGTTTTATAATGTTTATATAATGGTTTTAGGGTACGTTAGATGTTTATTAATTATGTGAAGAAAGTAGCGCTAAGTGTGAACTAATTTTTCATGAAAATAGATAAATGTAAACCAAGTAGTATTTTGACTTCCATTCAAAATACTGAATCACTATAACTGTACTAATTGCCAAACAGCAATAGAAAAAAGATGGCCAATGAGTAACATTTTGGACAATATAAAAGAACACCAAAATATATATAAGAAATGCTATATATGTCAACATGTAATGCCGGTCATTTACTTGCGCAGTAATACAAAGGTCTTTTAGTAGTCCATAAACTCGACATGTTTGTTGCAAACAGTTGTTCAACAGACAATATCAAATTATATGATAATTATGATACCACTACTGACATTTGCATCAATTTTCAATTATATCAGTTGTTTTTATGTCTGTTTGAGTAAAGTATAATAAATAAATTATGTACTATTACCTTCTGTTATCTTCTCGGATGTAAGGCCCTTGACAATTTTAGATAACATTTGAAATGTATTGAATTTTTGATAGATTTTTGTTTTGCTTTAACATTTAACCGTGTTTTGTAAAAGTGTTATGTCAGAATGATTAATTAAAGAAATAAAACTTTACAGCTGAAGGTGAGAACTGTATGAGTACAATGTTGCTTGGCGTTCCCTCAACCACAGAGTGCGCCGACGGACTCACATGTGACGTTCACTCAATGACATGTAAAAAGGCCGGTATGTATTTGTGACGTAATGAGCTTCACCTGGGTCGCTTGTTAATCATACAATTTGCTATTGTCTGGCGTGTTGCCTATGACATTGTCATTCACTTAAGTAATGAATTTAATTGATTGATTAAAATAATAAAATGCCATAGAGTGTTATATAAATGTCAAAAGAGGTTTACGAACATCAAAATAATTCAAGCTTTTAACCACTGATTTACCCCTGATTACATTTTAATGCGCACGATGCGGCCTATAATTTTAGGCGGCAATCGCTTCGAGATATGTACATAAATGTAATATGTAATGAAAATTAAAGTACACTCTAACATATCCACTGTAGCATTGCATTATGTATGTAATTTATTAATATTTATCCACACTGCATTATAATGTTTGTAATCATTTATTTTTCCTGTTTCATACAACAGCCGTGAGCCAATCCGACGATAGCATTGGTAAATATATAATTGTAATATTATTATATAACTCGCATTATTATATAATTCTGCATATTTTTAAAAAAGCAATTTTGTATTAAAATATAAAACTAAATATTCTAGCATTGTGAGCAAATTCAAATATTATATAAATTCGGACATTATTGAATCCCGAAATAGTCTATAATAGAGTATTGTTTTTGTGCATTATTAATTACATTAAGTGTTCCAAATATTCTTCCTTTGTAATTTTTAATTGGCAATGATGTTGGTTGCCAGAAAAAAGAGAATTTTTATGTTTATTTCTTAAAAAAGTTTTTTATATTCTCCATTTGGTTGTTTCGTTCTGTAACACAATGTTCTATATCTTTCACTTGAAGCAAATTCAATCTGCTTAAGAAAGAAAGAGGAGATAAGAATGTCTAAAGAAAATGGTCTCCCCTTGATCGGTGTCATGGAGCCTCAGTGTGACTCGAATGGTGAATATGCACCGGCACAATGCGAGGGATCAGTGTAAGTATTAAAATGTTACGTTGCATTTGTTTCCGGTAACACAAGCGATGATGTTGTTGTTGTTGCTGCTGCTGTAGCTGCCCCCGCTGCTGATGCGCTGTTGATGCTGCTAAACATGCTGTTATTACATGTGATACATTATTGTCTTATGTTTTCAATGTTGATATGTTGTTGTGGCTGATGTTGTTTCTGCTGCTGAGGGTTATCTTCTTACTTGTGTTTTTAGATTAAAGAAAACATTGTAAAAATATAACTGTGTGAAGATATTTCGGTGTTCAATAAGAGTAAATAGAATTTGACCTACAAGTCACCGTCTTGAAACATTTTTGTTATCAGACGCCATATCAGAAACTGGTCATGATATTGAAAAGGATTAACATAATCGTAGTTTTAAGCATAATAACCATCTTGAAAGCAGCAAAACAATTCGTGAAGCTTGCACACACAAATAATAATAATAATTAACAGTCTGCATGATGTAATGTATTGAATCCACGAGTTTCGTCAGCCTGTCACTGTAATTTGTTGTTGTTTTTTTTTCTTTCTTTCTAATAAAGAGCTATGTTGTTCTTAAATACATATGAATCGATGTATTTTTTACGATACATGCAGTCGTCATTGACTTGGACCTAATGCTACATATCATTTAAGTTAACATTACTGCGTTGTCGGGCTCACAATCGTACATCGGTGTCATAGGTTATACACGGTTCATAAGATAACACGTGTTTTTTCTACTAAGATAATTTCCAACATTAGTATTTTGTATATGTTTTCAGCTGTTTCTGCGTTGATGATATGGGAATGGCCATTGACGGCTACAAATCTAGCATCAGTGAACTAGCTAATATGGGATGTCGTGAGTATATTTTACCTACAGAATATTATGATAATTGCAATTGTCTATATCAGTGATAAGAGTGAACATCTTGTTAGTGGTAATACTAGATAATGGTCAATGAATTAGCCATTGATCTACTACATGTAGTATAAAAGCTTTGTTTTAATAGAATAATTATAATTTACAAATCAATCAACTAAATTATTTACTATTTTTCTATTTGTTTATTTATTTTTGAAATGTCAAAATCATTGTTACATAAAAATGTCTGATATTTTCAGAATGTGCCAGGGATTTGGCTGCCTACATGAAATCCGGTTTAATCGGAAAATTATTTTATTGCGATTCAAATGGAAATTATCAGTCAGGTCAGGGACCCGATGCCACCACCACTCAAAAACCAATGTTATCCGGATCTCAAACCGGAACCGGAAGTCTCTTAACCGGTGTATTGTCCGGAGGAAACATCATGCCTTCAGGTAAAAATGTCAACAATAAACCTTTAATGTACAAAAATTAACGTTTCCGAAAAGAAAAAAACCGATTACTTTTTGCTTTAATAGAATCAAGACGTTTGTAAATATCATGGATAAGATAGCAACAAATCTATCTATATAACGTAATATTTCATACACATCATTCCTTGCAGGCGAATGTTCGAAAGAACTTATGTCAGCTCAAGGAAGTAACTTGTTAGGAGCGTTTGTTCCAGAATGTGATGCGGATGGCAAATACGCACCAAGACAATGTCAAGGTTCAGAGTAAGTTATACACATACGATAATTATAAGGTCCTAAAACCATGTCAAACGAATCGTTAAAATTCGAAAAAGAAAATCTGATTTTTCACGACATAATCTTCAGAAACTGGTGATATTAATGAGGAGTGAATTGAAAATTATTGCACAAGTCACGCACAAATCAAAACAGTTAGCTACATTTTGTGTTAAATTGTATTTACAAATGATTCGGAGAAAATGCCGACTGACTTTACTTCGTGTGTATGTTTTTTGAGTCGTGTACCATTCTGGATATTAAACTATTGTAAAAAATTGAGTTTAGATTTTGGTTTATATTCTCGTTTTTCATTTAATATGCTGTCAACATTTGTTATATAATAGGAAAAAAGATTGAAAATAACTGAATAAGAACTGCTTTCATTTAGGTGTTACTGTGTAAGGAAGGACGGAACTAAAATTGAAGGATACTCATCCCCAATATCCATGAAAGATCACGTGACATGCCGTAAGTCAACATTTTATCATACGATATTAAATTTTATAATAATGGTCAACAAAAATTCAGTAAAATTTTCATTAATACGTATTGTAAGTGTTTAAAGTATTAATCGAAGCAATTCGCATTTTAAATAAAAAAGGTACTTACTGTTATTACAAGAAAGGTTCAAGTTAAAATATATAGGCTCTCAAGAAAGTCATAGTGATCGGAAGTAACACGTGCTTTTAATCGAAAGACAGGGTATACATTGAATGTTGTAGGCTCACAGGTTACAGTGATTTAATTTTTAAAAATATACTGTGATTCAGAACACTTCACCGACTCGGCGGTTATCAATTATTATTTTCCGAAGTTTGACGGAAAGGGCCGAAAAGTTGCGATTGAGAAAACTGAATTGACCAGAGGACAATTCAAGATTTATTTCGGATCATATTGGGAACATTTTTGTAGAAGTATCCGGAAAATTCATTTAATTATATATGTGGTAATTGTTGTTTGTATATAGTAATTGTAAAGTCCCTGGTCGTTAAATCCCGCATGAGACTTTGAATTTTGTCATGTAATGAAAACAACGACGGTTCTCCGAGATATCCTCTCAGGTTTGAAGTAATGCATGCAGTGATACATGATTTCTTCCACCACTAGTAAAACTATCTTCCACCACTAGAAGGTCGCCATATGACATTAACAAGAGTGTCGGCATGACTTAAAATAACCAAACCAATAAATATCTTAAACTATTTCAGAGTGTGCACGTGACAAAGACTCATATGAAGCATTAGGGTTAATTGGCCGTATTCACACGTGCCGAGGTAACGGTAATTACCAACAGTACCAGTGTCTGGGCTCTGTATGTTACTGTACTGATGATTCTGGAACCAGACTCGGGGACCAGTCTGTATCCATTGGAAACATAAATGATCTGAAATGTTAGGTAAGGATAAGCTAGTAAACAATCTGTTTATGAAAGGACTGGAAGATTTCACTTAGAAATGTAATAAATGATTATTTGTTTAATTACGATTATAGTATTAATTTTATTATAATTCTTTTTTCACATAATAAAGAGGATGTTGCATTCATAGTCAATGAATATTTATTTAAATAATAATTTCACTAACCTATGCCGGACATAATACCAAAGTTGAAGCCATATTAACATTTAATGCTTAGTCTAATTTCTTCAGTACGTATTTATTCGCGAAAGGAAATCGTATTTAACTTCTTAGTGTTTCTCACTAAAGCACGCTGAAACCTTTAGGGTGATTTCAAGCATCATGGCGTTTTACTCCGAATATAATTATGATTTTCTGAGAATTAAAAAAAAAAAAAGAACCAATCTTTCGTTCTGAAGTCATCGTAAAATATAGGCTTATTATAAATTATAATTTTATTTAACTTCGTTTAGCTATTGGAAAAGTTTATCAATGTAACTGTTGTCAAAACGTTAGAATCATTTTCTGTTTTAGGTATCAACAACATAGTGCATACGACAAATAATACAGATCTGCCGTTTTATTGTTGTATTTTTTATAATTGATTATTTTTTGTACTATAATAAACATGTAAAACACACCAATACAATCTTTCTTCGAGATTACTTCAACCACAAGAAGGTTCCGTTATTTATTTTTAAGGATAAGACGGTGTATTAGCAATGATGGATGTATGCTATCGGAAAAAAATATGTTGCCTATTCCTTCAATATGAAGCCAAACTAGTCCGAAGTTCTGAACATTCATATTATACAATTATTGACTAGTGAGCCATTGAATATGATGTGATATTCACCGGCAGATGACATATTGACCGAGGCGATAGCCGAGGTCAATATGACTTTCTGCCGGTGAATATCACATCATATTCAATGGCTCACGAGTCAATAATTGTTTTATTATATGAATATGCTAAGAAATTTTTAAAAAATCACAAATGTACAACATAATATACATGTACAAATTTTACCTCGTTGAAGCGCGGGAAAAAGGACGCACGTGTTAGGCGTGCAACGACTAGTACGCGAACGCTGCGCATACAAAAATAATTCAAGTTTATACTCATCATTGCGGTGTAGCCTTTAAGTATAATAGTCAAACAAGAAATATGCCATAAAGAACAAAAAGCGACACTTATTTTTTTAATTAACTCGTGTAATTAACAGTCTACGGTGTATGATCATTGAATATGAGTCTCAATCTATTTTTAGACTGGGAAAATCCAATTCAGCCAGTGAATATGAGTTTATAAAAAGTTCTGTTGACTACTGTTTGGACCAATGAAATTGCAGCTATATTTAGATCATATAATAAAATTAATTAATTATCTCACTAAACTTGTTGCAAAATTTCAATTCATTGATTTTTGATATCGCAATACATTTGAGCCGTGTCACGACAAAACCAACATAGTGCGTTTGCGACCAGCATGGATCCGCGCAGTCTGATCAGGATCCATGCTGTTCGCTTACCAACTCTATTACAAGTAGAGAAACTGATAGCGAACAGCATGGATCCTGATCAGACTGCGCGGATGCGCAGGCTGGTCTGGATCCATGCTGGTCGCAAATGCACTATGTTGGTTTTGTCGTGACGCGGCTCATTTGTGCTCTAATTGACTGAATCGATTTCAAAACATGGAAGATAAAATAAAGTGGCTTAGTTCTTACCATTGTATGTATCTATGTTTCTATTCGGCATCATTAAGTTACATATATATTGTAACTGAATGATAGGAAAGGACTGAGCAAAAATTATTTCAATATTTGCAGAGACAATTTTCATGCTGATAGGTCCGTTAGTAAAACTTTTGTACGTTTAAGATAAAAACAAATTCTTAACAAACGAAAAAAATGTCGTACAAATTATACTATTGATCACCACAGCAACAAGACACTTTCCTATATTTTTTGGGTAAAATAAAGTAAATTATGTCTATGATATGAGCTGTTCTAAAAATTAACTTGTACTTTTACTTCTTGATTAATGCAGTTTTCAGAAGCACGACTCAACCCATGCTCAAGTGACTGGTAAATGCACTGAATAACGAATAAAGGAGATTGGTCACTGCTAAGACACAGCCATATTGTTTATGTTAAAATTCATTAACGCTTTACGGGGACATAACATTTTACAATAACCCGTACAATTAAAAAAATACAATCAAACATTTTGGTTCTCAAAACGGATTTGATATAAGATTTCAATAAGGATATATTACCAATAAGGATAATTAAACGACAGAATATTTCCAATCAAGTTTTCTTAATTAATCTTTTTGCTTATATTAAGACTTTCAATGATTTTCTTTAAGAAGTACAAACATCTTAATATCCAATATATTTTGGGGGATTTGAAGACTTTGTACTCTTCTTTCTTGAGTTACAACTATATTTTAGATACTATAGCACGGTAGTATCAAAACATTGTAATTTAGACAGATATACATTATAAGGAACAAAATCTAGAAATCAAAAGAAATTGAATGGAAAAACAATCTCTTTTTGCAGCTCGACTTTCAAAGACTATTAAATGTAATGTGTAAGGAAACAAAATACCGCTTTATCATCTATAACACTAGTTGCAAAAAGCAGAGTACAGATTTTTAAAAAACGCATCGACAAGACGAAAACAAGTTATATGATAATTCAAAACTAACACCTTGTCCTTATAGAAACAACATTTCAAAATATATAAATAATAATGGTACTTGTCGAGGTTATAAAACTAGTAATATTTATCGGCAAGTATATTTTATCCCCGATTTACTGACTACAACCACACATTTAATAAAATGATAACTAAAATTTAATTTAAATACTTTTCTTGCATATTTTTTCATTATATTTTTAAAACAAAAAAAACAAACAAAAAAGCAATATCAACATGCAATTCATTAGTAGGACAATTGTACTAACGTATATTAGAGACTTTGTGTTTTTCTTTGGCCTAATGAGCACACTGTACATGTACAAGCTACACTCGGGAGGATATACAGCCCTTGCGGAGAATAACATAAGATAAACACAGAAGTTGCGAGAGGGGAAAACAACCATCTTAAACCCATAAACAATGAAAACAGTGCTTCGGGTTTCGGGTTTTGTGTAAAAATGAATTCAATTTCGAGCATTTACGTTTATTCTTTGCAATAAAAAAATAGTGCAATAATATGACAACAAATACCTAATTTTTTTAAAGAATGCAAGAGGAGAAGCAATGATAAATGTTAACAAAGCTTTCGAAAAAATCATCAAAAAAGAGCCTTTTCCGGATCTAGGGCGGAATACGGATCCAAGTCTGCAGCTATATTTACGTTGTCTCAAATCAAAGCCGTAACTACAATTAGCACAGGAATATATCAACTGTAAATAACACTTTGAAAGACTCGGTTTCCCCTTGATGTGGTTATTGACAAATTAGATAAAGTTTAATAGAAATAAAGTCCAACTGCATACATCGAACAGAAAGCCACTCGAAAGAAATATTGAGTAAATACTCCACTAATGACATTGACATGATGTTTTGGAAGGAAAATGAAACAAGGAAAGCCAACTCCGCAATTAATAAAACAAATGTGGAAACATAGTGATCCCTCAGAAGCATTAATCACAACTTAATTTTATGAAAATTGCAGACTCGGTTTGATTGAGTATGTACATGAGGGATAATGAATAAGTGCACATCCCTCACGCCCCTAGCACCGGCTTGAGCGGTACTCAATTCTGAATACTTTATAATGCTGGCATAAATGATCTGAGAAACCAGAAACATATAACAGTTTATCATAATACTTTCGTGACCATTGCGAACCAGTTTTAAACACAAAAAGAGGCAGACAGACAAGTTACAGAGATGCTTTATAAGATTTTTTAATGTAAAAACCATTTCGATTACACATCACCCGTTTTACTTCAGATTCTGATGGCATTTATCGTGCATATTGATTTTTGGTAAGACATACAAATATAAATGTTCCATTTCGAGATAACAGTACCTCTGGTATAAAAATGTCAATATGTTTTATTTTCAATCAAGTTTTGTTAATTGACATTATATTTTCTGAGATGTATGTGAATATACACACTTCTCATGTGGACATGCTTCTCCTGTATCTTGATAAGACCTGGTGTTACTTGTGAAACTGTATTAAAGCACGTAATACGAGTATTTAAGCATATGCTTGTTTGTTTTTTTCGTTTTCCAAGGTTGATATATTCAGGCCCTGATGTAATGTGATAACCGACTTAGACTCAGTTAGATCAAAGTGATAACATATCCAGCAATCGTCTCTGCAATTCTTATGAAAATTTATTGTGATTAATGCTTCCGAGGGATCGCTTTGTTTCCAGATTTTTATAAGGCTCAAAAGTAGGACCAGTAAAAAGTGACCCTGTCTGTCGCTTTTCACACCTTGTCTTCATATCAATAATACTTAAATCAGAATCATAAAAGGAGGACATTTGTCTACTGTCTTAGTGCTACATGTAGGGAAAGTATGCTTGTTTATGTTTGGAGAAAGAACTTGTCACAACGTTTCACATCAAAGTGTGCAAAGTCATGTACGTTTATCTAGTAATTACACTGTATTTCTATCTCCCAAAATGTGATTTTATCTATTATAACATCATAACAGAGAGCGCATTGTATATTACTGTAACTGATTATACTCCTTCAAATTTTCATATATTTTTTTTTAATCTTTGATAGAATTGAAAGGAACTACTCTTCAAAGTTCCATAGATAAAAGATGTACCACCATTTTAACAAACATTTATAAAAATACCAAGCATATCGAATTAATGATCAAAATGGTTTTCCGGTAAGCATTCCATAGCTTGATACTTATCCATATCTACATGACTTCGCATACAGTAATACTGCCATTTCTCCATCTTTGGAATACATTTTTGCGTCTTCTCTCTGCAACAACTGTTGTTATAGTATTTACATACCTCGTCACATGTATCGCAACCAGGACATTGGTTTTCCTCACCGCAAACAAAAGGTTGGATCTATTCCTTCACGCCATGCTTTAGTTATAGTTGCCAAGCGCCAGTTTTAGGCAAAAGGAACGAAATTGCAAACCTTTAGAGGAGATTCATTACTGGCATTTGTTTTAAGGAAAATATCTGATCAGATATGAAGAAGTCACAGTCACGATATTTGTAAGATGACAAAGAGTTTAACATTTAATTTAGCTCTAATGAGTTAGACCATCTGGTATTAGAGCTTAACATTTAATTTAGTTCTAATGAGTTAGACCAAAATCTGGTATTGAAAATTGTATCGCAATTTTATTTTCCTTTATTGTCAATTTATTTTGATTATTATCAATTTGTACTTTCCTTCAAATTAATTGTCTAAGAGTGCGAGTAAAATATTTAACGTGCTTTATCTAAAAAAACATATAAAAAAGGTATAAATATTTTTTTTTTTAAATGCATGACGTGAATGCTGTATTAGGTTAATCACTAGTAAGTAAGGTACCTAAATTATCGGACGGAAAAGTAAATTCACTTATTTTGAAAATTATGTATTATAAGTCCTGCGATAGATATATCTCATTGTAATAATAATGTAATATTGTATTTTGTAAATTTTTCATGTCCAAATATAAGGGTATATATTCAAATGTATGCCAGGGTGATAATATTTTAGTTTCCAAATTAGTATCTCTAACGAGTGGTCATTTTGACTGTATCGGTAGTCTTCGTTGTAATTTTAACAAGTATGAAAATATTAAATATATACATACACAAAATGATAACTTTTCCCACAGGTTTTACATAGGTAAAAATACACCACATGTTTTACCTATGTTTGGCACATCAATGATTTCCATATGTAAAACATATGTGGTTAAGAATATATGTTTTTCATATGTAAAACAACTTATGTTAAACCAGGACCATATGAAAAACATATGTTAACAGATAAATGTTAAACTCACGGTTACCACGTGTTTTTCATGTGAAGAAATTCTCACATGTTAAATATATGTGAACTTTCATATGGTTTTTCATATGATAAATTTATAAAAAAAAATAAAATACTGTTAATTATAGAATATTGTAACATTCTTTTTATTTAATTGATTTATTCTACTATTATTATAAATATCATAAATGTTATTATTATTATTATTATTAATTCATTTCAAACAGCTATAGGTTAATTGACATGATTGGCTCTTCCAGTCATGTCACACTTAATTGTGGGACTGAAATTATACATAGCCACTGGTTGATCTGCTTTACACAAATTCAAATTATTTTATACATTGTGAAAAAAGAAGAGACCAACAACGTGACCAATGCTGGCAGAATAATACGTCGATCGCTGTCTGTATAGCCCTTTTTACGACGCGGTCCGTTGCTATGAAAAAATGACCGGAAGTCGTATTTTTTTCGCGCATGCGCAATTTGCGTAGGGCAAAAAAGCCATGTCCTACATAGAAAAGAAGTAGAAATTCATAGACAATTCCGAGTTTGTTCAAGGTAAAAATTAGAAAAATCATATAGAATAGCTTTAACAGAAACACAAAAGATGCCATCAAAGCTGTGTGGCCAAGATTGCCCAAAAAAAGAATGGAAAAGACGATTGTTTAAGAGTTCCCCCTTACGATCACTGACCTGACATTGAGATTATTGTTGTAAAAATATGTGGAAATACATATATTAGCAAATACAGAAGTCAATTTAATTGTTGTTGAAAACGTCCATATTAAAAAAATATTTTTATTACATATAATATATAACATTTTTATATAAATCTTATTAACATTTAAAATCGAGGTTAAATATCATTCTGACAAAAAAGTCGGAGCACGTGATATAATGCATTTTTAGTTTTCAGTTTAGCTAACTTTATCCTTTATCCGACTTGACTGATATTCCAAACAGAAAATTTTTAAGTCACATAATATATTTAAATAATTTTTAAACTCTTGTGAAGTTAAGATGAGTGGTGGAATAACACACATTTTGTCCGGTTCCTTAATTGTAACACATGCATGGAAATGCACGTCATGTACACTGTTTGTCACTTCACAAAATCAATAAACATTAATGAGATTGGTATAAATACAAATTACTTAAATTACGATAAATCATTTTCATAATTTTAAGTAATTAACTATGTCATGGTACTAAAACGATCCGGTTGAATGGTATTGTTAAGTAGCTGGCAAATAACAACCGGTCAGGTGTCAATCTGTTTGACACATACCGCCTTGCCAATCCACTTTTAAAGGAATACCAATTGTGAAATATTATGTAATACATGGGTAATAAAATGTGATATTTAACACCCTGCTGTTTTAATGAAAAGGTCATCATTTTGTGCTTCAAAATTAACTCTTTAAGGGCATGACTGGTGACATGTCCGGGGTCCGTACTCGACAGCGCAAGCTGCATTTTGTGCCCAAAAGGGCGGATGGACCCTCATTAAGCTTTAACTACATACATACACATACATGAAAAGGTCACCTAATGATACCTTGAACAGAGGACTTTAGGTCGTTGAATTATTAGTCCCGCTAATTTTGTAAAATATGTTATGAACACCAATTCACGTTTTAAGTATTTGCCGATTTAATTCATTCCAAAAATTCTTTTTTCTGGGTGACATAACTTGAAACCACGCCTTTTATAGACTTAAAGTGCGCTTAATGTATGCTATCGTTATTGCGCTTTTGCCCTACGCAGAATGCGCATGCGCAAAATGCAACGTTGCTATGGAAAAATTGTACTATAAAAAGGTCTAACTGTATAGACGGCTATCAAATACAAAGCAGCGCGGTTTTAATCCCGCAATTATCGGAATTCTAACTGAAATCATTTGGCGACAGTTATAGTCTTGATGAGACGCTTATAATACACGTGCTGTTGTTTTTACAAGTGAGAGGCCCCAAACGAATCTTCATAAATAATTTTAAGTTGCACATTAAAATGGTTTACTCGCTGCTCTTCTTTGTTCTCATTGTTTCCGGCGCATACGGTAACTGGGAGCTCGCTTTGAAAGATTTATCTGAGTTGTTTCGTAAATTCAATTGTGGAGAGGAAAACCAGTGTATTGCATGTGACGAATGTAACAGTATGTGTAAGTTCTACAACAACAGTTGTTGCCAGAGGAAAGATGAACATTTAATTCCGATTCTAGAGAAATGGCAATATGAATGTATCCGAATATATCCGGACATGGAACTTATGGGATTTGATTGTAATGGCAAATACTCGGATGAAGTCGCAGCAGGCGGCGTTCTTATGGTAACTAAATGTCCATTGATATGGGAGGGTAGTGATATCCAAACAAAGTGTGAATACGAAATAGACACACTTTTATCTCGAATACCAGTGTATGAAAACAATCGGGAATATATCACTTACAAAAACGTATATTGCGCTTTCTGTAATGACATTGCATTTGATAGATTACGCTTTTGGGAAATTGAAGTACAATGTAACTACTCAGACAATGTTAATATCGTTGAAAACTTTGATAGAGATTCATGTGTGACGTATTACGTTTCTCGTGGTATATGGGGCAGTCGTAATTACAGATGGTGTTCAACAAAAATGATTGAAACATGTTCAGCATTTTATTATTCAAACTTGAGTGTGATTGATATGAGAGACAGATGTGAAAATGGTCAAACATGGCCAATTATAGTTGGAAGTGATTCCTTTAAAAATTTAGACTGCTGGGTTTGCAATCAACCTGACCTTAACTTGACCGAGAGTGTCGTCAAAGATTTATTTGGCGTTAACTTAGGATTCATAAATCCCGACTCTCCTCAGATTTGCGCTAGAACATATCGTCCGTGTTTTGACGAAATTCCAACCTATAGTTTAAAGCAACTTGTCAATCTGAACTTGGAAGAAGAAGATGATGGGACATTTTTGTTACGTAATTTAAAAGAAAACAGTTTATTCAATAGAAAACCAGGAATTATTACTTGTAAAACATGCGCCGACATTCAGTGTAAACATTATGAGATTGCAAAGAAAGATGTAGAAATGAATGAAACGGGTATTTACCTGCCACATCTTAATGTTTTCTTTACTAAAGATAGGTATTTTGTAAATGACACAAAAATGTATTTATGTCTAGATGAAACTCAACACGCCTATCTCATGAAAGTTCAAACCAGTAATCTAGGAAAAGACCTTGTTGGGTCAGCTCTTACTTTTGTCGGTCTCATTGCATCTCTAACTTGCCTATTTTTGACATTCTTTCTGTATTTGTATTTCAAAAAACTCCGTAATGATCACGGACGTATTATGCTTAATCTTGTAATTTCATTGTTTTTGGCCCAACTATTGTTTCTTCTTTCTTTTTCGTTTCAAAACATTAAATCGGCATGCGTTTTAAGTGGAGTTCTGACTCATTATTTCTTCCTAGTAGCTTTCTGTGCAATGAATGTTGTAGGTATTCACTCATTTAGGACATTTTCTAATCTGTTAGCGAATGATCCAAGAGGACACCGTGTATTGCTGTGTGTAATCTACAGTTGGACTGTACCTCTATTTTTTGTAATAACAGCAGTGGTTTTAGACTACGTTTATTTACCAAAGCATGTAGCACCATTTCGTCCTCAGTTTGGAGAAAAGACTTGCTGGATAAATTCTTCAAAGGCGTTGCTAGTTTTCTTCATTGTTCCTCTTGCTCTTTTCAAAGCCATTGATGTAATTTTCTTTTCGACCACAGCCGTGATTATTGCAAGACATATTCGTCGAGGTTCCAAATTAAATTCTACCACAAAGGCAAACCGATGTTCTTTCCTCATCAATTTAAAACTTGCACTGATTATGGGTTTGTGTTGGATGTTCTCCTTTATTGCAACGTCTGTGGATAATTTGGTCCTCTGGTATTTGTTTATTGTTTGTAACTCCCTGCAAGGGTTGTTTATATTTCTGAGCTTGGTGTGTTCTAGAAATGTTTGTTCTTTAATGAACCAGAGAATGAAAAGCTTTTCGGGCACGACTACTGGTAACACAAACATGAAAGTCTCGTAGTAACATCACTCTGCAGCATGATTGTGGCAGAACAGAATATATTTTATTACATGTAAACTGTCCAGTATAGTATCTAGTGTTTACAAAATGTGTAACATAATCTTAAGATATTTAAATGATACATAAAGGATGAAATTGTATATGAGATATGAACTTTGGACGTATACTAAAACAGATGGAAGAACTCATGTTCTCTTATTTAAGCCATGAGCAAATAAAATTACAATAATCTTGGAACTACTTTAAAAGTACACAAAGCAAACATGTGAACTAGAAATATATTATATTATATTATTTGAATTCTTTCCACTAATAGTCCATCATTACATATTTGTTTTAATTTGATTTCTTATGTCTTAAAAGCCGCGTAAAGATATTGACTAAACATTAGTAGTTCTGATTAATTTTGACTATGTAACAGATTTACGAATTTAACCATACTTGGTATTGGTGTCTATCAACCTCTCGTATATTTTTGTTGTAATTTGTTGTATTGTGTAATGCCATTATTATTATGGTGATTATAAAATTTTGCGAAGGTTGTTAAAACGACAAATATATATGCTTATTTAGATGTATAAATGAGTTATTAAATAAGCATAGTTATTTGAGTTCTAATAACAATAAGTCACTAATGAATATTTTAGATGAAAAGATATTGATACGCATAATGGAAATAAACTCAAATTAGAAATAAATTAACGATTCTTCATGACATGAGAGTTCATCCACCTTTTTATTATTGACTGTTAATTATTGGTTAAGATTTTATTGCGCCAACACAGAATATGTCATATGTACGGTGTTCCGTTTGGACAGTCGTGATGTTTAATTTAGTCTGTAGCCGCGATACACGATGGTAAGATGGTGAAAACGCGATGACACGATGGTACGATGGTGAAAACACGATGGTACGATGATGAAAACGCGATGGTACGATGATGAAATCGCGATGGCGCGATAGTACGAAGGTGAAAGCGCGATGTATCATCGCGTTTTCACCATCTTACCATCGTGATTTCACCATCGTACCATCGCGTTCTCACCATCGTACCATCGCATCATCGCGCTATCGTGCCATCGCGCTTTCACCATTGTGCCATCGCGTTTTCACCATCGTACCATCGGGTTTTCATTATCGTGCCATCGCGCTTTCACCATCGTACCATCGCGTTTTCATCGTGCCATCGCGTTTTCACCATCTTACCATCGTGCATCGCATGTACAGACTTAATAAAAAGTCACGATTGTCTTAACGGAACACCGTACATATGGCGTCATTCCAGCGCAACTTGTTAATGAAGATTTAGGTGCCCCTCCGCGTATTACAGGCACGATAGCTTTCTCACACATAAGAGTCCAATGTCCGTAAGAATATAGATTTATATTTAATAACTCAGTCCCAATATTGACTATGTTTGCGGATGTTGGGAGATGCGTTCTGCTAACATTCACCATTGTTCATTTCAATGATGACCTTTCATTGTGTTACCATATATTTTAAATCGAAATTGTACATTTACATCAAATGTGTATCATAGCGCTTTTAATCGTTTTTATCATTTTCCCTATGAAATAGTCATTCTGTCAATGTGTTTTATTACGTTTCTTTCAATTGCCACAGCACTACTGCTATGTTCTTTAAACGCTCTCATATAAATTTATCTAAAAAAAACAACAAAAAAAACCCCACCAAATCTTTTCTTTTTGTTCTTTTTTTAAATGTTGAATTCTGCTTAAGTCAGTGCTAGATTGCGTGGATAGTAATATAAACATACCACTACCATGTATGATCTATCTTAAACTATGCCTGTCCCGTTTGGGGCTTCACTAAGTATAAAAAGATAGAACGTGTACATCTCAAATACTGTAAAGCGATTTTGGGCGTTAAATTAAGTACAAGTAACGTGTCGGTCTATAGGGAACTAGGAAGGTATCCGTAATTTATTAGGTTTACACATATAATAAAGTATTGATTTAAATAACTGAATACGGATAACATTATATTAAAATGCATTTACGACAATGCCCATGACAAATGTGGAAATGGCACAAATAACTGGCCATCTTAAATTTAAAAACGGCGGTTTTGCCGAAATATGGAATTTTCCCGACAGTTCTTACCTATTTTAAAAACAAGGACTTATCGATTGTTACTTACAAGAATGGCGTGCAGTTGTAGCTCACGCATCTATACTAATATGTAAAAAACAGTTCTGTTATGAATTATATTTAGATAAGATTAATTGTAAATCATTTAGAAGCGCTCTTACACGCCTTCGAGTGTCCTCTCACAGACTTAGAATTGAGTCCGGAATGTATGGTTGAGGCCGTGTAGAACGTCACGAAAGAACTTGTCAATTCAGTGATGCTAACGAGCTCGAAGACGAGTATCATTTTGTCTTATCCAAATCTACGTAGCCAATATATAAAGCGTTATTTTTACATTCGGCCTAGTATGGCCAAATTTATAGAACTACAGTAACTGCAATCTAAAAGCCATAAAGTTCTTACAAAGTTATGTTATTATTTTAAAAAAAGCAAACATCAGACGGAATGATAACTCTAGAAATGTTCAATAGTATTATGATGCTGTTTTGATTATATATACCTTGATGTTCTTTCTGTATATTATATAAATATTTTGTCAAACAAATTCGATTAAAAGCGAAGTTATAGTTTGTTCTCCGCTTAAATTTAGTACTCTTCATTATTCATTTACAGAAGTAATTTATAGATATGAATATATAATTGATTAATGGAGTTTTGTCAGTATATGTGATGTATTGCATTGTATGTATTAAATATCCCATTGCTCAGTGTTGTATTGATTTTTTTCTTTATGTGTTTTTTTCCTAATTGTAAAATATGTGACCTAAAATTATATTTCAAAATGCTTGTTATAACGATGTACCTATGTGTGTACAAGTTATGAAATAAACTCTGTTCTGTTCTGTTCTTTGAACAGGCAAACTGAAACATTTTCGAATTTGCCTTTCACGCTTTACTTATTTTTCTCTTTGATATGTTTCCGCATATTTTATTATTTTCATGCTAACAATGAATTAATGTGTTTATTCATCATTTAAGTCTTCTAATTGTTTTTACTATGTGTTAAGAAAGCAATTATATTGTTTTATTTTAGAACATTTAATTTGCTTATTCAAGTACTAGTTTTAAAGTTTGTATAAAGCTATATACTCGTATATCTGTTGTTTACAGGTTACTGTACATTTTTATTTTTATTTAACAGTTTTGTAATATTTTAATGTTTTCCTTTTTATTCTTATCTAACAGATTTCAATATTGTATGGTCTATTATCAATCATGTTGTATTGTTTATTGAAATAAAATATAAAATACAATTAATTATCATGATCAAAGGAACCATGTAAAATAATTTAAGTGATAACAATAAACCGAAGTAAATAACAAGAAAAGCATTGATGCAAACGCCAAAAAAAATTGATCAAGTTTTGCACCTAAATACTTAACAAAAGATGTGTACTTTATAGCAGTACCATTACATGTGACCTGGAGGCTAGGCCCAGTTTAAGTTGAAACTTAAACCAAAATGAATAGACTCTGTCAAGCCAAGATGCAAAGACAATTTATAGTCAATTAACCAATCTTATAAGACTCATGCCATAAGAGAGAATTTCTTAAGATTTATTTTACCAGATACAAGGATACCTGAGTCATCAGCATATAATAAAAGCTTATTGCTTAGGGTTGCAGACATGTCATTGACATATATTAGACATAAAAGAGGACCTAAAATGAACCTCAGGGGGACACCATAGGTACTCGGAGCAGTAGTAGAATGAGTACCAGCCACATCCACCAGCTGCTGTCTATCAGAGATAAGACTTGAACCATGTAAGAATGTCATTATCTATGGCAGATGCTTGAAGTTTCATGAAGAAGAAGAACTTCTTCATGTGCAGTATAGTGTGATCAACTGTATCAAATGCCTTTTGTAGATCTAAAAGTATCATGCAATACTGCCTTTGTCCATTTCAAATTTAATACAATCTGTTAAATGAATCAAACATGTGTCAGTTGAAAAACCACTTCTAAGCCCTGACTGAAACTGCCTGACCATGACTCGAACCCATGACTGTCAGAAGACCAACTGAGCTATCCGGCCGGCTTCACATTTTCTCTTTAATAATGAAACAGTTCTAAACCACAACATATTTCCCCACTATATTGATTTGTGTCCTTGAATTTCTGATGTTTACAGAGCATAGTGAATTAAACTCAGGGTTTTATGCAGTCACAGGATGAGAAAAACTTTCAGCTTGACCAGAACTCGAACCTGTGACCCACAGAATAATGTACCGCGGCTGTAGCGATTGAGCTATCTGGCCGCTTACACATTTTCTCCCCTAAATAGTGAACAGTTCTAAACCGTGACAGATACTTTTAGATTTTTAAATTAACAGGTAGATTAATTCTTAATTAAACAAGTAAGAAAAAAACCTTACATAGTCATAGTCTTAATCAAAATAACAATTTATATATTGTATAATTATTTTTACTAAAAAATGTTTACTAAAAAGGTCTTAGACAGTTATTGGTTGTGCCATTATTTATAACAGGTCAATTTGAAAGTGAACATAACTGTACTAATACGTGTACAATATCTATTTTTTGTACAGATACAAAACTAACCTTTTTTCTATGATAAGAAATTTTATGAAGGCTGATTTGTATTTTGCATCAGGGCACCGGGCGAAAACGTGAAAATGCAACAAACGAACCACTTTGTGGTAGATTGTATATTCATGTTTTCATCTGGCGCCCGGTTACTTTTTGTAATTTGTTGGTTTTCATGTGGTACAAATCACCCACTATAAAGTTTAGTGCACAAATTTATTTAAGGGCAAATAACAATCTACTCTATGAAAAGTCTGTTGTCGGGTTGACTCTGGAGACCTTGAGGTTGAGACAGGTGTCCCTCCATTACAAATAGATAAGACAGAAGCTGTCCTTTTCAAATTACGCACATGTAAAACAAAATAATAGAATAACTTTTCAGAATATGATTTTTTGAGACTTTATTAATTATATTGCTTGATTCAAGGTTAAGGACATTTTCAATCAATACATGTATTCATTTATAACTTTAAATGAAAGTCTCATCCCTTTAATAGTAATGTCATAACTGTAACTCTTTATATACAGAAATATTATAAGTCTCATCATATCAATATACTAAGATATACATGTATGCACAGAACATTAAAATTTCCCATTTTCTATTAAATGGATATGAAATCCTAACATTAACATTAATATTGGTACTAATGGATGGAATTCAAAATCTAGTAGAAAGAAAACTATAATGTATAAACTCTATAAAAGGGTAAAAAAGGAGAACATTGTGAGCAAATCTATTTCTTTCCGGCACTTTAAAGATATGGACAACGAGGGTTTCGCTAACGACGTTAATCAAATGACAATATGTACTGATTCTGTGGAAAATTTTGTTGACCAGTTTGAGACTGAGATCGAGAAACTCCTTAATACACATGCACCTATGAAAGAGAAAATTCAAATATGTAGAGCACCGAAGCCCTGGTTCAGTGAAAGTATTATGTCCCTGAAACGAGTGATGCGTCGATCAGAGAGACTTTGGCGGAAACATCGGCAACCCAAGGACTATGAAATTTATAAGTGCGCACTTCACAAATATCACTATGAACTTAGAAATGTGAAACAATTAACACTTAGTCAGAAGGTAATTGAATCAAAAGGTAACTCTAAAAAGCTTTATCAGTTTGTGAAAGATCTTACCGGAAGCAAGTCAGAAAACCCAATGTCACCCGTGGAAGATGAAAACACCCATGCTGATAAATTCGCAGACCATTTTATGGACAAGATCAAGAAGATACGCGAGTCTCTGAAATATTTTGAAAACTATTAACCTTTGGTCAAAGACGTACCACCGTTTGGATCTTTCGAAAGTCTTACAGAGGATGAGATTAAAATGCTCATAAGTCAGTTACAAACTAAATCTTGTGAGCTACATTCTGCCCACCAAAGTATTGAAATCATTTCTCAATAAACTTTTGCCTACGATTACCCAGCTTGTGAATCTTTCTCTGACGCAAGGTGTTTTTCCAGCTAAATGGAAAAAGGCAATAGTCAGGCCTCTGTTGAAAAAATCTGGTCTTGAACTCACATTTGCCAACTATCGACCCGTCAGCAACTTGTCATTCTTGTCCAAATTGATTGAAAAAGCCGCCCTTCATCGACTAAATAAACATGTAAACGGAAACGATCTCCTTCCAACGAATCAGTCGGCCTATCGTCAGTTTCACTCCTGTGAGTCAGCCCTTCTTAGACTCGTAAACGACATTCTTGATGCAATGGAGCATCAAGAGGTCACTGCACTGATAGCTCTAGATTTAAGTGCTGCTTTTGATACTGTCGACCATAACATACTGTTAAATGTTCTTGAAAGTCAATATGGTCTCTTTGGATCTGCGCTGGAATGGATAGATTCATATTTGAGGCCGCGTAGCTGTCGAGTGAGTGTTAACTCGAATGTGTCATCAGAACGGGAACTTGACTGTAGTGTCCCCCAGGGAAGCTGTTTGGGCCCTTGGCTCTACTTGACGTACGCAGGAACTATCTTTGACATTGTACCTCCCTCCATTTCCGTGCACGGATTTGCCGACGACCACGTTGCAAATAAACGTTTTAAACCATCACCTTCCGCAGAAGCAAGCGCAATGCAGGACCTCCAGGACTGTGCAGTGCATATAAATGATTGGATGAACAGCAACAAGTTAAAAATGAACAATTCAAAGACAGAGTTTATTCTTTTCGGAAGTCGTCCACAGCTGAATAAGTGTAACACCAAAGAAATCAATATATGTGGTAATGTTATTGAATCACAACATTGTATACGGTATCTTGGTACTTTTTTGGATGAGTCTCTAAATTTCAAAGATCACATTAAAAGAAAGTGTAGAACTGCTATGTTAAACTATTTCAAGATCAAAAGCATTCGAAAGTATCTGACAAAGGGAGCCGCTGAAACACTTGTTTTATCTTTAGTAATATCCCATTTAGATTATTGCAACATCATTCTATACGGCATATCTCAAAATGAATTAGCCAAACTTCAACGTATTCAAAATATGTGTGCCAAACTGGTGTTAGGTCGTTCCAAGTATGATAGTTCTAAACAGGCATTATTCGATCTGCACTGGCTTCCGATTAAAGCACGAATCAGTTTCAAGATAGTGACATACATGTATAACTGTTCGGTAGGAAACGCACCATCATATTTAATAGAGCTTTTGTCTCATTAAGTGTCAAAACGAACCTTAAGATCATCTGAATCCTCTGTTGGTTGTTATGTTGTTCCTTTTAATAAGAAGAGGAATTTTTCTGACAGAGCTTTTAGCACGATAGGACCAAAATTGTGGAATGAACTACCTATTAATATGAGAAAATGTGAATCTGTTGAAATTTTCAAAAGACAACTGAAATCATTTTACTTCAAGGACTTTTTTGCACTTTTTTAAGTGACGCTGAAGGCATTGTCTGTTCCTAATTGTTTTGTGCATGTTTGTATATTTCTATCAGTTTTTATTATTTTCATTGTACAATAATATAATAAAGTCTAGCCCATGTGTTATCATGTGCAGGGGTGTAGATTGTTACATGTTGGTGGGGATTGACCCAATCACTGTGACCGTCGCACTGCTGGGAGTATTGTGTATGGTAGCACTGGGAGTAGCACATATAAGGTATATAGCTGTACAACGCCATTGAATATGTATTCTATATGTAGAAATAGGCGTTAAATCAAGTTTTCAAGTTTCAAGTTTTTATTATAGATACTATTATTAGAACTATTATGTATAAACTCTATTATAGATACTATTATTAGCCAGCTTGGTATAAACATCTATAACCTGTAGACTAATCGATACATGTATTATGCTCTAATTCAATTCTTTCAACCGAGCATAAATCATTTACAAGCTTAAGCCCTTCAACTTACATGTACTACACTACAACAAAACAAATAAACAATTTAAAAGCAATTGGCTAAGAGTGATTGTTCCAGCCGTTTATTTGACGAGTTTATACACAGAAAGAAACATAACTTATTCGTATCAAAACCACTATGACATTATACACAAAAGATTAACAAATGACAAGTTAAACTTAAACTGATTTCGTATCATTCAACAACAAACATATTTACTCATTAGATGTAATTCATGACAGGCATATAGGTCGTTAACTAACAAAAATGGAAACCCATACAACAAATAACATAACATCTTTAATTGAAAAATCTAATTCACAAAGAAAACTTGACTGTTAGACACATGTTTTCGGCACATGATTAAAGATTATTAGTAATTTGATAAAATGACCCTGTTGCTTTAATTGTTCTACAAAAACAAAAACGAGAAAAGAAAAATGCCTATTAAATTTAAATAATAATCACACCTTTATTCAATGTTTGAATTTACAATAAAATATACACATACAAAAAATACAATCATATAATATATTCATGAACTCTTAAATCGGGATGCTGCGAGCAGGCCACCCAACCCTAACTCCTTTTACTTATTTTTAGGAGGGGGAGGTGGGAAGATCCTGTGGCTCAAGACCAGCATGGACGTCTTCTCGTCCCCCGAAACATCTATTTTTTTTTAAACAAGCATTCCTGGCATATCACACATCAGAATCTGAAACTAGAAAAACAAGATTGTTTATATGCATTGATTTTTAAATACTATATTTATACACTATGATTGAAAAAACCGTGTATCTTACGACATTATAATCTACATAAACTACCGCAATTTTCTAAATAATGTAAAGTTAAGATAAAACTCGTCTGAACAGCCGAAAAGCAAATCCTCGAATGATTATTTTACACACCTATAGTACATATACACGTATCATACTTTTCACGTGCACATCCCCGCCAAAATCAAACACAGGCGACAATCATAACCCCGCTCAACCATGCACGCGGTAAGTTGCCTGGCAACGTGTGTAAATATATTTATGCTCTAATTCAATTCTTTCAACCGAGCATAAATCATTAACAAGCTTAAGCCCTTCAACTTACATGTACTACACTACAACAAAACAAATAAACAATTTATATGTAATTAGCTAAGAGTGATTGTTCCAGCGTCGAATTTTAAAGTACGGGACAAATAACGCTATTAACTGAAAAGAAACTGAATTACAATCCTAGATTTTTAGAAACGCTGAGAATCGAATTAATATCCTCAGACTCATAACCGTCCTTCGCATGCTCACTTTTCCACCCCCGTGCTTTTTAAAAAGTCTATCACATACATTATTAACAGAGCTGGCGGTAGAGCCACCGCGTTTTAAAATGCTAGTCCCATAATCATTAGGGTTTAAGCCTACTTCGACAAGCATCTCACGTAACAGTTCCCTAACTCGAGTATAAGATAAGCAACCTCCTTTCTTTAATCTAAAAGAGTTAGTTTTCTTACATGAAGATAAAGACCGAAAAAGATGCTCTTCACTATGACAAATCAGCATTTGAAAAATAAAGTTGTAATGTTGTATATGGACATGTAACACCAGTTGATTTTGAAATAACAACTGAAGAACCACGTCTGATCAGTTTTACTAGACCGTATGTACAAACTTAAGTAATCATCATTGAATGTAACATCAGTACATCTTAAATTTAACATTTCTCCGATCCTCAAAAATCCTGAAAACCCTATGATTACAATTGCAACTGATCTTAAATGATATAAAGAACAATTATCTATGTCATGTAATAAAATCATATCTCCAATAATTTCTGCAGAAATAGTTGTTTTTTTTTTTGCACATAAGCATATGTCCTGACCCTTCCGGTCAAACTTGGGCCCTTCCGGCCATACTTAGGCCCTTCCGGCCAGACTTAGTCCCTTCCGGCCAGACTTAGGCCCTTCCGGCCAGACTTTGGTCCTTCCGACCGTCTACCCATGAAACTAAATAGTCCTTCCGGTAATACTTAATTACAAATTTAACGTGATAATTATTTTAATGATCTGGAATCAAGTTAACTGCCAAAACAAATCCTTAAACTTTCTAGAACCAAAAAAGAGATCTTTTTTTTTACCATGAACATATATTTTTCTGTCACAAAATTCTAAGACATCCTTAAATAGTTTTTCCCTGTAAAACTGTTATCTTCAAATAATAAAGGGCAGTAAGCAGCAGACTGCCACCTTAGTACAATCAGGACACCCATAGCTTTACACTCTATCACGTGTTTAATTGTTTTGCATACTAAACTGACTAAACTAAACTTACCATTTATGAACCTTCTGTTCGCTTTCTTTGCTTCATTGCGCTGTTTGATAATGGACGCAGCTGCTTTCTCAGCCTTTTTAATTCTCTTTGAATCCTCATCATCGCTGGCTAAATCGTCTTGCTCATATTCGTGTACAGTCAACCAACCACTAAGTGACTTGTCTGTCAGTTTTATCAGTTTATTGCGACATTCAATCTTTTTCTTTAGCAGTCTCACCACAACTCGAGCGCCTCACTCTGTTCCCCTGACTCAATCAGTCCGCTAATTTGAACAATGAAATCCAACAGCTCACAGTTATGATCCAACTGAATCTGATTCCCTTTGTTTTTCAAAACAGTGGATTTGTGAGTTTTGGCAACACTTCCTTTGCATATCTCTTTCTTAAAATCTGCAAACTTAGCATCAAAATACGATTTTATCTCATATAAACTGTCCGAGTTCATTCTTTAATTTAAATGAAAAGTTAAGATAAAACTCGTCTGAACAGCCGAAAAGCAAATCCCCGAATGATTATTTTACACACCTATAGTACATATACATGTATCATACTTTTCACGTGCACATCCCCGCCAAAATCAAACACAGGCGACAATCAT